GAACTCTGTTTATCATCAAACATTTCATACCTCCTATTACACGTGAGAGAATTATTATCTAGCCTGGTGCCGTGAAATGCTTTTTCCCATAATGGAATTTTACTCTGGAAGTGTATTTTGGTATTAAAAGGTTCCACTTTATAATGTCGATGGTTCAATCTGTGATCTAAAAGGCACTTAAACGCTTTGAACAAGAAGCATAAAGAGCTTTTATTGCAAAAGCCTTGCTGGATCTACCAATTTTGCCATTGATCCTTTTCCCCAGAAGACTGCTCTTGGAAGCAGCCATTGCAGAAGCAAATCCCATGGTGGGGTTGGGTCTCCCGCGGCTTAGTAAGACAAATTTCAGAGGGCTGTACTTTCTGCGTGCCCATATGCAGACACCAAAGCATTCTGGATGGACTGCTACAGAATGTTTTAAGCACATCACTCCAAGCAAAGACACTTGAGCCATCCAGAAAAGCCATAAAGATTGAGTCTCACTTCCCTTGTTAATCCCAGTGTGTTTCCTCCATTAGCTCACTTCATTGTAAAATAGGTTCGATAATAACAGTATCTGGGCCGGGCGTGGAGGATCATGCCTGTAATCCCAGCACTGTGAGAGGCTGAGGTGGGAGGATCACTTGAGGCCAAGAGTTCGAGACCAGCCAAGCCAATGTGGCGAACCCCATCTCAACTAAAAAAAAAAAAAATACAAAAATTAGTGTATGCCCATGGTCCCAGCTACTTGGGAGGCTGAGGCATGTAAATTTCTTGAGCTTGGGAGACAACGTTGCACACCAGCCTGGGCGACAGAGAAAGATTCTGTCTCAAAAATTATGAATACTAATAATAACACCAGTATCCAGTGTTATTGTGGGGGTCAGTCAGTTACAGTTTCTAAGAAACCTGATACATATCAGTGCCTGGTGAATGTAGGTTTCCTGTTCCTGATTGGCATGCTTCCTTCATAACTGAGGGATTCAGGTCCCACAGAGAACAGCGATGTTGTGCAAAGAACCCCACACTTACATCAGGGAGACTCCTGACATTCTAGCTTTACCCTGGGCGGTTCATTCACTTCTCTAAGCCTCCATTTCCTCTTATAAAGGGGCATTTGAATATGTCACAGAACTGTCATTGTCACTCACGTTGTGTATGGACCAATATGGCTGCCCCAACCTCAATTCCACGTGACCTTTCAGCTCAGTGGCCTGGCATGGAAAAGGGAATATAATTAGCACCTCTTAGTCATTGACTCACCCTTTACCAATAGCTGGGGACCAGGGAAATTTGGTCCACTGCCAACTTAGCAGAAGCTATAGGCAGGAGTATCCCATGAAAGGGCTGTGGGCAGAGCAGCAATGCGAAGCTGGAGTGATAGGGCATTTCCCAGAGAGTGCACCTTGGACCAGTGTCCCATCAGAGTTCCAAAGTGAAATACGTATGAAAAATATTGCATCCAGCACTTTCTGCAAGATTTCTGGTGCTCATGATTATGTTTAATTCCCCCAGTCAGAGGGGGAAATAATCTTGTTTAATCTTAGACTTCTCAAACGTATTTCACCATGGAACACCTTTTCCCAAGCACTGTTTCATAGCCCTGAGGGAGGGCAGAGCACACTTGAGGGAGCAGGGCTCCAAGATTCCAGAAGCTCAAGTGGAATTTCTGAGCTCTTTCTTACATTGGGTATTCCTGCTGACACTTCGGTGCTTCCATTTGGGTATTCCAATGCCAAGGTACTCTTTGGCCACATCATTGACTGTACTCAAAGCATTTATTGATCTGTGCACCTAGTCACATTGACAAAGTGCACTCCACTTCCCATGTACTCTTCTAGGCAAAGAGAACACCTCGAAAATATGGCTCCTGGCTAAAAGGAAGGTAGACACATGAGCAAACAAGAGTGAAAAGGCTCATAAGACAAATGTGTGCCTGGTGGAGGTGCAGAGGCTTTGGGGAGAAGCCTTGTTTGAAGGATGAGGTGCTACCCCTAGAAAATAGTCGAGAAGGCAGGATCCAGCACAGGCAACACGTGCAAAGGCTCAGACAGAAGACGGCAGAGGGGATTTCTGGAATTACAAGGAATTAAATCAGGGATAGAGATCCAGGGATAAGAGGAGAGGAGTGGAAAGGTAAGGAGAAGCCAGGCCATGAAGAACGTACTGAGCGGTGCATGCCAAGGGTATCCTTAAGTGTCCTTCAGAGGCAATGGAATAGTCAGATATGTGTGAGCGGGGAGGTGAAGTGACATAGTTAGATCTGTGATTGGCAACAGCCCTAATACCCTGTGGAGGTGGGCTTGGGGAAAGCACCTAGAACATTTGATAATAGCTGATGGGCAGGATGTGCTTAAAAGGTTAAAGATGGCTGCAAATTTCTTGTCCATCTCCCGATTGAAAGATGGGGTATATTTCCCCTCCCCTTTCATCTGGGCTGGACTTGGTGCTTACTTGGCCAACAGAATGTGGGAGAAGGGACTTCCAATCCTAGTCACCTAGTCATAAGAATTCTTGCAGTTTCTACCTAGGCTTCTTGGAATACTCACTCTAGAGCAGTTGCATCCAACCCTTTGAATGAAAGGACCTTTTTTTTTGAGATGGAGTCTCGCTCTGTTGCCCAGGCTGGAGTGCAGTGGCATGATCTTGGCTCACTGCAACCTCCACCTCCTAGGTTCAAGCAGTTCTACCTCAGCCTCCGAAGTAGCTGGGATTACAGGCGTGTGCCACCATGCTCAGCTAATTTTTTGTATTTTTAGTAGAGACAGGGTTTCACCATGCTGGCCAAGCTCCTCTCGAACTCCTGACCTTGTTATTCGCCCGCCTTGGCCTACCAAAGTGTTGGGATTATAGGTGTGAGCCATTGTGCCCAGCCAAATATGAGGACTTTTTGCTTAACTGTGGTGGTATCACAAAAATTATGCACGGACCTTTTTTTTTTTTTAAGCTCATCAGCTATCATTAGTGTTAATGTACTTCATGTGTGGCCCAAGGCAATTCTTCTTCCAGTGTGCCCCAGGGAAGCCAAACATTTGTACACTCATGCTCTAGAGAGAGCCAGCTGTCTGATTCCCCCCAGGAAAGACAACCCTGCTCTAAGGGTAGCCCAAGCTAGCCACATGGAGAGGTGCATATTCAATGAGACTGGCCCAGCTAGCCCCACTGTGCTAGCTGCCCCAGCCAAATCATCAGACATGTCAATGCAAATGCCATCTTGGGTAATCCAGCTCTGGAAAACACAACATGAAGACAAATTAAAAGAGTTCAGCCAGCAGTCAGAACCAAGGCCACAGTAACACAACCCCAGTGGAGTCCCCCAGGCATCTCCGATTGTTCAGGTCATCCCAGGTGTGTGATCCCACGATGGCTGAGGTCGAGCCATCATGAAACAGAGACCAGCTATCTCGCACACCCTACCCCAATTCCTAACCTAAAACATAGTGCATATAATACAATGGGGCTATTGTTTTATGCCACTAACTTTTGGCGTGGTTTTTCCACAGCAAGAGATAAACATGATCCTGGACAAGTTCAAGTGGAAGTTCATCTAGTGAAACCGTGCTGTGAACAGAAACTACAGAGTTTCCATTTGGAAAATGAAGAATTCTGAAGATGGATGGTACTGATGGTTTCACAACAATGGGAATATGTTTAATGCCACTGAGCTGTGTGCATTTAAACATGGTTAGGATGGTAAATTTTATGTGATGTGTATTTTACACAATTAAAAATTTATCAGTCCTGTGAAAAGATAAGTGGGTGTTGAACAGTGAGAAAACATGGACACAGGGAGGGGAACATCACACACCGGGGCCTGTGAGGGGGTGAGGGGCTACAGGAGGGGTAGCAGCAGGTGGGGGGATTGGGGAGGGACAACATCAGGAGAAATATCTAATGTAGATGACAGGGGGATGGAAGCAGCAAGCCATCATGGCATGTGTATACCTATGTAACAAACCTGCATGACCTGCACAGGTACCCCAGAACGTAAAGTATAATAAAAAAAAATACACTGCTGTATGGAGGAAGGCACAGCAGTGTCCACCACCCCTTCCCAAATAAAGTGAGGCAATTACCATTGTTCGGTTTCTCTTACAGTTTCCTTGTGTTGAGACTTCTCTAGTCACATCCTCCATATTCCCTTCTTGGAATGTGATATGGCATAAATCACATCTGAGAAATATAACCCCCATAATTGCCAGAGAAAATGTTGCACTTGAAAGAATCCCTCCCCCCTCCAAAAAAAAAAAGATTGGGAGTAGTGCTTGTGCACGCGCATGCACGCACACACACACACGCACACGCGCACACGCACACACACGCACACACTTCTCAGACACTTTTCCCATTTCACCGCACAATCTTACCATGTTCTCTGTCCTAGCATGTATCACTTCATAGCCATTATTCTGAAGCATTGTAGGTAGTGTCCCTTGAGAAGGAACACAGCCATAAATATGGAGAACCTCCTTAGGAGGTGGGCTTCATTAATGATCGAGAATTTAATACAATTCCAGGAGCCAAGCAATACCACGATGCTAGTCGTTGTTTCGTTCAATGGCAAGATCATCTCTGCAGCAATTTCTTAGGTTCCTCGGTCAAATCCAAGACCTCACTGCAAAGCCAGCCAAACCTCCCTTCAAAGAAGGAAGGCACTTTGGGGACTTCAAGCCATTCATCTTCTCCCAAGGATCAAAGTTGAAGACAAGGCATAGCCTCCCATTGCCTTTCGTATTGGAAGTGCAGGGGAGGTGCTGAGAGGCCTTGGGGAGGGGGAGCCACTCTGCAGGAAGGGGAAAGCGTTTGGGGAGGGCCCCAGAGTGAGCATCCTCACCAAGACACTGCCAGAGAGGAGCTGAGCACAGGTCTCTGATCACATTTCACTCATATTTCGGAGTGCTTTGCTATGTGTCACTCACATGTCAGAGTGAAATATGATCAGGGACCTGTGCTCAGCTCCGGGTTCTGAACCCAACAGTCTCTGTGACATTATAAAGGGTTCTCTGTCTCATGATGGGGGCTTCTCTGTCTCTGTGGCAGGTATTACAGGGCCACAGTGAGGTATTAAACTTGCAAACTGTCTATCAGGTCTAGGAGAAAGAGCCTTGCCACCAGCCCAAAGGGCTGCTGTGGCTGAGTTTTGTCTCCCAAAAATTCCTGTGTTGAAGTCCTAACACCCAGTACCTAAAACTGGACTTGACCTGAAATGAGGGTCATTGTAGATATAATTTGTTAAGATGAAGCCATGTTAAGATGAAGAGTGGGGTGGGCCTCTAATACAGCACAGCTGATAGGCTTCATCAAGGAGGAAATCCGGACGCAGATACACGCCCAGGGAGCACACTGCGTAAACATCAGAGACTGCGGCCACAAACCAAGAAGCTACCAGAAGCTCCAAAAGAGACTGGGAGTGGAGCCTCCCCTGGCACCTTCAGAGGGAACTCGGCCCTGCCCACACTTTGATCTCGGGCTTCTAGCCTCCAGCGCTGTGAGGCAATAAATTTTTGTTGTTCTAAGCCAAGCAGTTAGTGATGCTTTGTTACGGAATCCCTGGGAAACTAATACAAGGTTGATCTGCTTCGCAAACATGCTTTCACGGAACTCCTCCCGTGTCCTGGGTCCATGGACAGAGATGAGTAGGACATCTGTCTCTTTGTGTTCATGTCCCCTTGAAAGAAAAACTCATCACAAAGTGTTATGAGTAAATCGTGTCCCCCCTACAGATTCATATGTTGAAGTCCTACCACTCAGATGGTGACGGCCAATTTGGAGGGAGTCCTGCAGCTAAAAGGAGGTTACTGGAGTGCACCCCAATCCAATAGGACCGGTGTCCTCATAAGAAAGGGAGATTAGGACACAGACACACACAGGAGGAAGGCAATGTGAAGACACAGCACGATGTCAACCATCTATAAGCTGAGGAGAGAGGTCTCAGGAGAAACCAGTTCTGCTGACACCCTGATTTTGGACTTCCAGCCTCTAGGACAGTGAGAACATAAATTTCTGTTGTGTAATCCCCAATCTGTGGTACTTTGTTATGGCAATCTGACCAACCAATGTGCAAAGCGACATGCTAAGTTCACAATGAACACAGCGCAGAGAAGAGGCTCCCAATCTGGCCCAGAGGATCTGGAAGGGCTTATAAGAATAAGTGGCATCTAAAATTTGAATAACTCCCAGGACTGTGAGAGACAAGTTCTTCGTTCCATTAGCACCCATGTTCTGTTTCACTTTGAGGATTCTGGCACTGGACTTACTCTCTCCTACCTGAAGACAAAACCCAAAATGTCTCGATCTGACCCTGACAAGAACCTCTGTTCCACAGAGGGGGTCTCGTTAGCAGGAGCAGCCAGGCTGCTGGGGAGGGTAAGCCAGGCATCTTATGACTCTACAATTCCACGGGAACTCCATTGGGCAGGGAGGGCTCTCATTTCCCTGACTTTACCCCCATCAGGGCCCATATTGGAGCCGGTGCCTGGTAGTTCTCTGAAATCGTTCATGGAATGGAAGTGAGAGAAGAGCTGGACTCCAGCCCAGTCCATTCCCAGGGCCAGTCACTACGGTGGCCTTGAAGTGTTTGCACAGCTTCTGCAGACAACCGGGACACCTGCTCCTTCATACTGGGGCATGGACCTACTCATCAAGTCAGCCCAACCGTGACCAACTCAATGGGTCACAAGGCAGGCAGTTACACCACGCAAGATGGCAGTACATTGGGTGTCCCACCCAAGCTGAGCCTATAGGCTCCTTCTCTGAGGATTCTGAATTGAAGGGATGGGGGAAAAAGATGCTGAAAGAGAGACAGACGCAAAGAGAGCCTGGGACAAAGTGACACACACACACAGACACACACACACACACACACACACACACACCCCACACAGCCTTTTTCCTGGTTCAAGTGCCTTCCTCCCTTCCAGAGGCAGACAAAGCTCACCTAGCAGCGATGGGAGTTGAGGATTCCTATTATCCCTGCCTCCAACCCCATTGGTTCTTCCCAGGAAGAATACTTAAATATGCCGACCACCAGGTGCCTCGGAGGGTTATTTTGCAACAACACAATGAAAAAATAAGAGAAAGCTTGGCAAACTTTAAAGAAAATACAGTTAATTGCCACTGACATTCTCTCTTAGGTTGCATAAGCAAGCCCTGGGCTTAATCACATGCATTATTGCAATCAACCTGCCAATCACATTTTGAAATATTTCTTTTTTGACATAATTACAGTAGAATACCCACAACCCATCAATAATATGGATAAGGCAAGATTGATATTGTGTTTCCAAGTGGGGCCTGACAAAGGCATCAGAGCTTTTGTTCGGGGAAGAAAGGCAGGAGGGAAAGCATCTCCCTCTCCCTTTACGACGGGTTTAGCCAGACTGTCTAGAACGTCACTCACAAGAGGCTGGAAAACCCCGCTCGTTGGAACTGTAATTGGGAATTTTCAATTATTCAAGCCTCATGTATGTTATTCTTATGGAGTAACAAATTCAAAATGAATGCTATAACCTGGGGCCTTTGTGCTTACATGTTATTGTGAAACAGAAGCCTATTGTCAATTGCTCTTTTATGTTAATTTACCTCGTTTTACGTATTAGTTCCTTGCTGTAGATCAGTTGATTCGCGTGTATGATTCGCAAAGGTAAAATGTGCAGAGAGAAACGGTAAAATTCAGACGTCCAATGTACCCAGTAGTTTGGCCATGGCCCCCTCCCACTCTTCGCACCTTTTGTCTTTTCATCAAGGTAGGGCTTTGCCTTTATTCCCAACAGTGAGGATTAGAAACCTCAGACAAACCCTTAGACACATTGTTCAAAGAATGACTTTTTTTTTTGCATACGGAGTTCAGTTCTTTCAGGAGGACCCGTTATCCGTAGTCAAAGTGCAGAAGCTGAGAGAAAGAGGAGGAAGCTCAGACCTAAGGAGAGCAAGTTCCCACTCAAACCTTTGTTCTAGAAGGTTTGCTTGTGACCGACAAAACACTGGGCATGTTTGGCCAACAGAAGGGGCATGAAACCTCTCACAAACACACCCCTGGGGTCTGGCATGGAGATGGGGGCAGCGTCCTGCGGGTCTACAGTGTGGCTCTGAAGCAATCACACCCGCCCTGGGTGCTCCCTTTACAGAAAGGCCCTGGCACCTGCCAACTGGCCCTGCCCACAGGGCTGACTTCCCCATCAGACAGCACAGGCCCAGAGCCAGGCCCCTGATACTTTCCAGGGCCTACAAACACGTCTGCCTTTCTTACAAAATTAGAGGGGGGAAAAAAAAGAAGTTTTAGAGCACAGAAAATGTTTTAATATGCAATGTTAATATATTTGTCTTTACACTCATGCATTCATAAAATATAGTTTTAACACATTTAAATTTTTATTGTGATAAAATATACATAAAATGTACCATCTTAACCATTTCTTAGTGTACAGTTCAGCTGTGTTAAACTCATTTACAGTGATGTGCAACCCATCTGCGGAACTCTCCTCACTTGCCAAACTGAAACTCCATACCCTTAAATAACAATTCTCTACGCTCCTCTCCCCCGGGGCCCTGGCAAGTACCATTCTCTTCTCTGTCTCTATGAATTTTACTACTATTGGTACTTTGCATAGGTGGAATCAGACTGCATTTTTTGTTTGTTCTTTTTTTTTTTTTTTGAGACAGAGTTTTGCTCTTGTTACCCAGGCTGGAGTGCAATGGTGCGATCTCAGCTCACCGCAACCTCTGCCTCCTGGGTTCAGGCAATTCTCCTGCCTCAGCCTCCTGAGTAGCTGGGATTACAGGCACACGCCACCATGCCCAGCTAATGTTTTGTATTTTGAGTAGAGACGGGGTTTCACCATGTTGACCAGGATGGTCTCGATCTCTTGACCTCGTGATCCACCCGCCTCAGCCTCCCAAAGTGCTGGGATTATAGGCGTGAGCCACGTCGCCCGGCCTGTTTGTTCTTTTTAAAGAGACAGGGTCTCAATCTGTCATGCAGGCTGGTGTGCAGTGGCACAATCATAGCTCACTGCAGCCTTGAACTCTTTGGCTTAAATCAATCCTCCTGCCTTAGCCTCCCAAGAAGCTGAGGCCATAGGCATGCACCCCTACACCCAGCTAATTTTTAAATTATTTGTAGAGAGAGGAATCTCGTTGTGTTGCTCAGGCTGGTCTTGAACTCCTGGCCACAGTAGTGTTTGTCTTTTTCTGTCTGGCTTATTTCACTTGGCAAAATGAACTCAAGATCCATGCATGGCGCAGCATGTGTCAGAATCATCTTCCTCTTTAAGGCTGGATAATATCCCACCATACGGATGGAGCGCATTTGCTTTCCAGTCGTCTACAGGTGGACATTGGGCTGCTCCCACCTTTTGATTATTGTCAACAATGCCGCTGTGAACATGGGTGTATAAATTGCCGTTGAGCCCCTACTTGCAATTCTTTTACCCAGAAGTAGAATTGCTGGGGATCAAATGAGATTTCCATTTTTAATTTTTTGAGGAAGCACCACACTGTTTTTCCTGTCAGTTGCACCATTTTACATTCCTACCAATAGTAGACAAAGGTTCCCATTTCTCCACACCCTCATCAAGACTGTTAATTTCTGTGTTTTGGTTTGATTTGATTTGATTTGGTTTTTGATAGTGGCTGTCCCAATGGGTGAGAGGTGGTATTTTTAATATTTTTGCATAGAGAAAGACACCTACAAAGGCAATAGTGTCTAAGACTCGTGACAGTCAGAGTGTGGGCCTCCTGGCCTCCACCAGCCTCTTGGGGGTCTCCTGGCCTCTGAGCGCTGCAGCCCGGGTGGCCTTTCCCATTTCCACCTGGAGATTTCACTCCTCAGCTTCATACTCTTTTATGGTGCCCTGCATCCAGAATGTTCCGATCCCCTGCTCTGTGCTTGCCACACGAAGCTGAAAGCACCAGGAGACAGGGGCTGACTCGTGAACAGCACTTGGAAAATACGGACTGAAGAACAGACAGCACTGCCCTGTCATGCATTCATCGCATGAAACAAGAATGCACAGTCGCCCCCTCTGAGGTTGTCTGCAATCCACAGCAACTATTCATGGGCAGGCCCTCAGCACTCCACAGAGGCTGCTTTGCTTAATTCTGTGTTGATTCCTGTGACTGCTATAACAAATCACAAGACACTGGGTGGCTTGAAGCAACTGAAGGGGACCCTCTCACAGTTCTGGTGGCCAGACCTCTGAAGTCAGCATCACTGTGCCAAAATCAAGGCTCTAGAGGAGAATCTGCTGCGTTTCCCGGCAGCTCCTCCACGTGGCTGCCCACCTCCCTTGGCCTGTGGCCACATCCCTCCAGCCTCTGCCTCCATAATCACATTGCCTTCTCCTTTGTGTGTGCCACGTCTCCTCCCACCTCGCTCTTTTGAGGATACAGGTGATAATATTTAGGGCCTGCCAGATAATCCAGGATGATCTTGTTTTAAGAGAGTAACTATCACATCTGCAAAGACCCTTTTCCAAATCAGGTAACGTTTACAGGTTCCAGGGATTGGGTCCTGATATATTTGGGGAGCATTATTCAGGCTACCACAGTTCCCCACACAACCTCCTGAGGCCCTGTATTTTGGAGGTAAGAAGCTGGGACTGGGAGAGGGGTAGGTGCTTAACAAGCGACATGCTGAGGTCACACATCCCCTTCGGGTGAGATGGTTAATGCCCCAGATTCCAGAGGTTTAGCTCTTCATGGGGCTTCTTAGGGACAACCCCAGCTTCTAGGATTCCAGCTCTGCCTCACACAACAGCTTCAGTCCTGCCCCTGGACCTCAGGATGTTAGGGACCCCCCCAACCCAAGACAGTAGGTCCCTGTCTCATTGAGTGCCAAGACTCTTTTCGCTATGCTGTAGAGGGAGATGTAACTATTTGTTTTAGGAGATTTTCTGAAATAGAAACTACCGTTAAGAATGGTTTTCACATTACCCAGTATTCAAGGAGGAATGGTATCCCCCTAAATTCCTGTCTTGAAGTCCTAACTCCAAGCACCTCAGAATATGACCTGACTTGGAAGTGGGGTCATGGGAGATGTCATGGTTCAGATGAGGTCAGACTGGAGTAGGGTAAGCCGTGCTGCAATATGACAGGTGTCCTTATAAAGAGGGGAAACGTGGGCACAGACACACAGGGAGAACCTGATTTGAAGGGAGTTCTGCTGCCACAACAAGGAGTCACCAGAGCTCAGAGACAGGCCGGGAGCAGATCCCTCCCAAGAGCCTTCAGAGAAAGCCCAGCCTTGCCCACACCTTCATCTTGCACTTCTGTTTCAGTCACCCAGTTTGGGGTGCTTTGTGACAGCAGCCTTAGCACATGAACACATCAGGTAAGGCAGATCACTGAACTAACCAGAAACTTCATTCCCTGCTGCTTCTCTGGGCCCGGGTAGACAAGACTGACCTGCTTTTAGGCTGGGCTGCTGTACCATTCAGTGCAGGTGCCGAAGTGTGCTTTCTATGGCCTCCCTCACCAGCTGTGACCATTATCATCACAACCTGGGGTGTGGTATGGTGCCTCATATAATATGACTCGGGAAAAAGAAAGAAGAAAAGGAGGGAGGGACAGAGGAAGGAAGGAAGGAGAGAGGGAGGGAGGGAGGGAAGGAAGGAAAGGAGGGAGGGAGGGAGGGAAAAAGGAAGAAAGGGCGGGAGGGAGAAAGGAGGGAAGAAAGGAAGGAAGGAGGAAGGAGGGAAGGAGGGAGGAAGGGAAGGAAAAAGGGAGGGAGGAAAGGAGGAAGGAAGGAAAGGAGAAAGGGAAGAAAGAAAGGAAGGAGGGAAGGAAGAAAGGAAGGGAAAAAGGAAGGATGGGAGGGAGAAAGGAGGGAAGGAAGGAGGAAGGAAAGAAGGAGGGAGAGGGAGGAAGGATGAACAGAAGGAAGGAGGAAAAAGAAAATGAGGGAGGAAAGACAGAAGGAAGGAAGGGAAGGAGGGAAAGAGGGGAGGAGGGATAGAAGGAGGAAGGGAGGGAGGAGGGAAGGAAGGAGGGAAAGAAGGAGGGAAGGAAAGAAGGAAGGAAGCAGGGAGGGAGGGAAGAAAGGATGGATGGAGGGGAGGGAAGCAAGACCTGAAAGGAAGGAAAGAAGGAGGGAGGGAGGGAGGAACAAAGAGAGGGGAGCAGAGGAAGAAGGGCACCTGATCTGCACTCGTAGGCAGACCTGTGCAGGCTCTTCCCCTCTTCTCCTTTCAGCTGACCTCACTTCCTCTGTTTGCCCGTTTGTTCTTGCAAGTGTAGCGTTCCCTCCTGGTCGTGCCCTCTGTGGCATCTCTCCAGGAGTGCCTCTCTGACACCATGTATGAATGTGGGTCCCCTAGGTCCATTCACTGCTTTACCTCCTTGCTTTCCATCTATAGGATCTCTGTTGATGTCTTTACAAAAACGTGGATATTTTTCAGCTGCTGTGGATTTCTTTTGTTGTTCAGCAAAAGAGGAACTTCCAGTCTCAGGGCAATTTCAACTTTTAACAAACTGCATAAGGTTGGAGCGAGGTGTGGCAAGAAGCCCACAAGCACATTTCTTCTGCCACCAAATCCCTAGTTTCAGCTTCTTTCATTGACTTGAGACCTTCATGACGTCCCCTTCAATTTCCAATCTAAATAGAAAAGCCGCTTCTTGTCCTATTTTTGCCCCAAATCCCCCACCATATTAGGGCTGATTTCTTTTTCAATTACATCCTTCATTAGCTTTCTCTTTCTGAAAATAAAATTTTAGCTTTAACTATATGAAACTTATTTGCATAACTCAAAACTGGTCAAATACCAGCATTTCAAATGGATCAACCTAATGACAAAACATAAAAATAAAAATAATACACGTAATATTATCTCTACATAAAACAGGAATTTTGAAAAATTCAAAATGTATAAAGGTAAAAATATAAATCACTCATTTGGAGGCTGGGCACAGTGACTCATGCCTGTAATCCCAGCACTTTGAGAGGCCAAGGCAGTCAGGTAGCCTAAGGTCAGGAGTTTGAGACAGCCTGGCCAACATGGGGAAACCCAGTCTCTGCTAAAAATACAAAAATTAGCTGGGCTGGTGGTGGCAGGTGCCTGTAATCCCGGTCACTCAGGAGACTGAGGTCAGAGCATCTCTTGAACCTGAGAGATGGAGGTTGCAGTGAGCCGAGATTATGCCACTGCACTCAAGCCTGGGCAACAGAGCAAAACTCTGTCAAAAAAAAAAAATCACTCATTCCTTTCAGAGAGGATCAAAGTGAACAATCTGGTGTTTTGCCTTCCAACTATTTTCTATTTTTATCTTTAATACACATTATTAATTAGTAATGCATGTCTTTCCAACATATTTAAGATCGTAATTACAACTGCTGCTAGTAACATGAGCAAGCACGCACGTCAGTAACTACGCAAAGACGCTGTTCTATGCACGCCACAAATATGAACTCATTTAATCATCATAGCAAGCCCAGGAGGCAAGTAGTACTGTCAATCTCATTTTACTCAGGAAAATTGTATGTACAGTTTGTACTCACTTTTCTAACTGCATTTGTGGTTCTCACACATTGTTCAAAATTCCTTGAGATCATATTCTTCAATAGTAGCAGAGTTCTTCATAAGTTTGTGCTGTGAAGGGTCAGATGGTAACTATTTTACGCTATGAGGGTTGGACACTCTCTGCTGTAAGCGCAGGACTCCGCTGTTGTATTGAGGGCCACAGCCAGTACGCAAAGAAGTGGGCGTGACCGTGTCCCAGAGAAAACCTGTGAACAAAACAGGTTGCCAGATGCCAGGCTGCAGTGTGTCGAACTCTGCCCTATTATCGGTTGACTGTTTTCTACTGTTGGACATTTAGTCTTCTTAGAATTTTTAACATGCAAATGAGAATTTCGATCTAGTTCAATCGATTTGCCTTTTTTTTTTTGGCTTTGTTTTCATTCCTTTACAACTCAAGAGAGCTTTGTCCGTCTGTACTGAAGTTCTTATCTACAGGATCTCTGCCGTCGCCTTTAAAAATGTGGAACTTTTTCAGCCGTTGTGGAGTTCTTTGTTCAGCAAAAGAGGGACTTCCATTCTCAGGTCAATTTCAATTTTTAATAAAGTTGGAGCAAGGCGTGGTAATAAGCCCATATGTCACAATAAGCCCACATTTCTTCTGCTACCAAAATCCTTAGAAATTGTGGGAGGAAAGTGTTAATAATGAAAAAAGAAAAACGACGTAAAACTCTGAATACAAAAAAATACTTGCTAGGCTCTGAATACTTGTGTCCCTTCACAATTCTTATGCTGGAACTCTAATCCCCAAGATTACAGTGTTAGAAGGTGGGGCCTTTGGGAATGGTATCAGGGCCCCTATCAGAACCCCAGAAAGCTGCCTTGCCCTTTCCACCATGTGAGGACACAAAAGAAAGCTTTACATATGAACCAGAAAGTGGGCCCTCACTAGACACTAAATCTGCCAGTAGCTTATCTTGGACTAACCCCAATGAAATGCTATAACACCAGTGTAAAGACACACATACGAACCCTCACACTGTACAGTAGGTTTCCTATGGCGCATTAGCTTTCTATTGCTGCTTAGTGCCCTAAAACCAGGGGTCCCCAGCCCCTGGGTAATGGACCGGTACCAGTCCATGGCCTGCTAGGAATGGTCCACACAGCAGGAGGTGAGTGGCAAGCAAGTGAGAGAAGCCTCATCTGTATTTAGAGCCACTCCCCATTGCTGAGCTCGGCCTTCTATCAGGTCAGCAGCTGCATTAGATTTTTATAGGAGCATGAACCCTGTTGTGAACTGGGCATGGGAGGGATCTTGGCTACGTGCTCCTTATGAGAATCTAATGCATGATGATCTGTCACTGTCTCCCATCACCCCCAGATGGGACTGTCTAGAACAAGCTCAGGGCTCCCACTGATTCTACGTTATGGTGAGTTGTGTAATTATTTCATTATATATTTACCTTGTAATAATAAGTCGGTGCAAAAGTAATTATGAATTTTGCCATTGAAAGTAATGAAATAAAGTGTACAATCAATGTAAAGTGCTTGAATCATCCCCAAACCATCCCCCACCAACTCCTGGTTTGTAAAAAAATTGTCTTTCACGAAACTGGTCCCTGGTGCCAAAAAAGTTTGGGACTGCTGCCTGAAACAACCTCCATGTATTGTCGGGTGTCATGATTGTGTCATGGGACTCTGCTCGGGACCTCACAAGGCTACACTGAGGCTGTTGGCTGACTGCTTTCTCATCTGCGGCTTGGTGACCTCTTCCAAGCAATTCCTGTTATTGGCAGAATTCGGTTCCTTGGGACTGTTAAGTTCTTCTTGATGATCAGGTGGGGGTCCCCTCAGTTCCTTGTGGCTGCCCTCTGGTGCTGTGGCTCCCTCCACAGGGATCCGTCACATGCACAATAGGGTTCACCCTCCTATGAGAATCTGATGTAGCCAGCGATGACAGGAGGCGGAGCTCAGGTGGCAATGCCAACAATGGGGGGCGGCTGTCAATACAGATGAAGCTTCACTCACTTGCCTGCCATGCCCTCCTCCTTCTGTCTGCTTCCACCACAGGGGTTGGGGACCCCTGGCTTATAGGGATTAAATGTAGGCTTAGCAGTTACAGCAAAAACCCAAAATAAGTGGCTCAAAGAAAAGAGAAACTTCCACTCACCTAACTGTCTAGAGTCTGGCATGGCAGCTTCGTGGCGCTAAGAACCCAGGCTTCTTCTGCCTTCTGAATCTGCCACCCTAACTTGCTACCTGACCCACCTCTCAGTCTCCCTTCAACGTGGCAAACTGAGGAAAGAAGGAGAATTCTTTTAAAGGCGTGTGCCCGAAGTGGCACACAAACATCATTTGCCTTCACAACCAAAAATCTGAAACCTTTAACAGCCTGGGCTTTGAAACTTGGCTACCTCTAGCCACAGAGAAGCTGAGAACGTGTCTCCTAAGAATTTTCACTCAGCTACAAGTCAAGGGTTCTCTTATCTTAGAAAAAGGAGAGAGCCAAGGTTGTGGACAATTAGCAGTCTCTGCCACCGTAGTCAAAGATATATCTCTTTAAAAAAAATCATTATGCCAGATCGTTTTAAGAACAAATTCCCCCAAATCTTTAAAAAATAGTTTCAGATCTATTGACTTTTATAGAGCATAGGAAGGGCAGAAAGCTTCCCAGTCCACCTTTCAGGTTGGCATCACTGTGATATTAAAAACAAGAATAATGCACAGATAAAGAGAACTACAGGTCAGTACCACTTATAAACATAGAAGCAAATCCTAAATAAAATACGATCCATGGTCTGTGACGGAAATCACACAACTTGATCAAGTGGAGTCTAATCCCAGTAATGCAAATATGGTTCAACATTAGGAAATTCACTTTATTAACAAATTACAGGAGAAAATCATATGGTCACCTCAAAATATGGTGAAAAATAATCGAATAAAATGAAATACCTAATTGCCAAATTTAACTTTAAAAAAACAAAACTGTTTATTACTTGGAAATAGCAGGAAATTTCCTTATGTTGATAAAGAACATTGTGGCATAGATTGCTCTAGTCACCCATCATCCATTCTCACTTCATACCTTTTGTAATGGTCCCTAACCCCTAGCTTTAGGTGGGTATGTGGTCACTAAGTTAGAGACTACATTTCCCAGCCTCCTTTGCCATTGAGAGTGGTCAGGTTATTAATTTCAACCAATAGAATGTGAACAGAAGGGATACCTACAATTGCCTTGTTACTGCTTTAAGAGGAAGCTGTTTTCCTTGGACATCCCTTTCCCATCTCCAGCTAGCTGGAAAAGAACAATGACTGAGCATGTTTGGAAGCTACCTGGAGAGACTAGCAGAACCAGCCCTGGGCTGCTTACCCTGGACTGTCTCTGTGAACTCTTACAAAAGAGATAAATTAGCTTCTATCTTATTTAAGCCATCGTATTTTGGAGACTTTTTCTTGTACCATTTAGCCTATGCCCAAAATCACCACAAACATAATTTCCAATGATGAATCATTAAAAGAATCCCTATTAAAGTCAGGAACATGAAAAGGATACCTGCTATCATCTTTATTATACAACATTTTGCTGGAGGTACTAGTCAAAACAATTAGGTGAGAGAAGGGATAAAATCATAAGAAAGCAAGAAATTTAAATTCCCATTTTGTGCAGGCAATATGATCATTTGCTTTTCAACTGAAGAAGTACTAGAAAGAATAAGATATTTCAATAAGCTTCTGGAATATACATAATAGATTTTCTTTTGTATTGCTTTTTTTTTAAATTTTAAGTTCCGGAATACATGTGCAGGATGTGTAGGTTTGTTACATAGGGAAACATGTGCCATGGTGGTTTGCTGGACCTATCAACCCATCACCTAGGTATTAAGCCTCGCATACATTAGCTATTCATTCTGATAATAGGTTTTCTCAACAAATGAGCAATTAGAAAATATAATGGGAAAAAAATCCTGTTCACAAAAAGAAAAAAAAATGCTGACAAATATGTAAAAATAAACTTTATGAAAAATGTGCACATTCTATTTAAAAAAAAACTGTAAGCTTTTCTCAATGATATAAGAAGACCTAAAAAATCAAGAGCATACTATTTTTAGATGGTATATTCTGCTATAAAGATGTCAGTATTCCTCAAATTCACTTTTAAATGTTATGTATTCCCAATAAAAAGTTTATAGAACTTGATAAAGGGATTTTCAAGTCCATCCGTTTGAGTCCAAGAAGAATAAAAACATCAAATATCTTATATGTTCTAGTAGCTAAAGTACTAGAAATAGACACAGAAACAGACAAATGAAATAAGAGAGAATACAGAAAAGAGCCATTGTATAAATGACAATTTTGTTGGTGGTAAAGATGGCATCTTACATTAGCAGAGAGCACAGACTATTTGAGAAATAGCCTTGAGATAATTGGCCCTCCATTTAGAAATAATTTTAGAGCTTTACCTCACACCATATACAATAATGGATTCTAGTTAAATCAGAGAGCTAAGAGTAAAATTCTAAACTATAAAAGTGTATGAATAAAAGGGGAACATTCTCTAGAATGCCAAGCAAGGCACAAAAGAAGCCCTAAAGCAGCAGATCTCAAACCTTGCCCTCTGTTCCAGCCACACTCTTAGCAGTTCCTAGACATTGCAGGCATGCTCATCTCTTGCTGTTCCTTTGGCCTGCCTGTTTCTTTCTTTTTTTTGAGACAGAATCTCATTCTGTCGCCAGGCACCAGGCTGGGGTGCAGTGGTGTGATCTCTGCTCACTGCAACCTCCACCTCCTGGGTTCAAGCAATTCTCCTGCCTCAGCCTCCCAAGCAGCTGGGACTACAGACGCGCGCCACCATGCCCAGCTAATTTTTTATATTTTAGTAGAGACGGGGTTTCACTATGTTGGCCAGGATGGTCTTGATCTCTTGACCTCGTGATCAGCCCGCCTTGGCCTCCCAAAGTGCTAGGGTTACAGGCGTGAGCCACCGCGCCCGGCCCGCCTGTTTCAATGTTATCTGATTAAGGAGAACTTTCCTGATCCTTTTTGAAAAATAGGCTCGGCTGGGCACCACAGCTCATGCCTGTAATTCCAGTGCTTTGGGAGGCTGAGGCAGGAGGATCACTTGAGGCCAAGAGTTCAAGGCCAGCCCAGGCAACACGGTGAGAACCCAACTCTACAAAATAAATAAAATAAAATAAGCCAGACTTGATAGTGCACACCTGCAGTCTCAGCTATTCAGGAAACTGAGGTGGGAAGATCACTTGAGCCCAGGAGTTCAAGGATGCAGTGAGCCATGACTGTGCCACTACACTCCAGCCTGAGCAGAAGACCAAAACCCTGTCTTCAAAGAACAAAAACTAAACAAACAAAAAATAGGCTCTAAAAGTAAAGTAAGCCTCTACTGCAATTCTGTGCTGAGGAATAGCTCTACAGGAATGTGGTAGAATGCAGGGGCTTTCTTCTTGGAAACATCTAACAGATTAGTTTGTCTAAGAACCCATTCAGGTCCTGAAGTCTCTCTACAATCGGTGCTTACATATTTCCAGTGTCAGGGAAAGCATTATCCTCTAGGAGGATCTGTTCTGTAAATCTATTCACCAACCCATCATCCATCCACCCACCCACCCATCCATCCATCTACCCATCTTCCAACAACCCACCCATCCTTCCTTCGATCTATCCATTCATTTGCTACCTCCCCATCCTTCCATCCATCTGTCCATTTATCCATCCACCCACTCATTCATTCACAGAACCATTACACAAACATTTACAGAGTGTATATTATGCACCAGGCATGGTGGTAGGCTCTGGGGTTTTTGAATTGAACATATCATGGTCAGGCTGTCAAGGACTTCAGAGTTTTGTGCATGTAAACAAACAACAGTAACACATTGTGACAAGAGTTATAATAGAGTTCCTTTTCAATTGCTGTGGAAGAATGGAAGTAATAACTTCTGGTGGTGTCAGAGAAGGTTCCCAGCAGGGATAGCATGTTAGCCAGGAGTTGAAGAATGTCTAAGAGATATCCTCCAAGCAGAGAAGGGGAAGAAGGGCATTATAGACGGAGGAAACAGAAAACAAAATGCAAACATGTACTCACATGAGAGCTTCATAAAATTGCAAATAGGGGGCCAGGACTGGGGATGCCTGGGAAGGGGGAGAGTGAGACGGAAGGGAGGCATCAGGCAATGTGCCTGGAACAGTGACAAGAGATGGATTCTGAAAGTCTTTGCAAATGTTGCTTAGGTGAAAGTTTTGGTGAGTAGAACATTCTCTAGAAATCTCCGTTAAAAAAAAAAAATGTAAAGAATCCCCATGATGTTCTTACATTAATCTGTGCTGCTGGCTTGGGCTTAGATGCAGCTTTGCAGAATATATTTTTTAAAGTTTCATTATGCCACTGTACATCAAAATAGGCCAATATAAATTATAATACGGTCATGCCAATAGGACTTGCAAACACAATATTTTAAGTTTATATTGCATTCCAAGACCCATAAAAATTATTCCGAATGGCTGTTTGCTTTTTGAAGCCAAATGAAAAGGTATTTGCAATTTGATTATTAACAAATCAAATCACTGAAATGATATTGGATTTGGTACATCTCAAACTGACTGAGAGTGAAAAATCCTCAGTGGTCAATTACGTAGCATGGCTGGTTTATAGCTTCCTGTGTGTCATTAAGAAAAAGCACCTCAGCCAACTCAGATTTCATTTTGATTTATTTTAACCATTTCTCTACTCTGAGAATTTCTCTCGTAGTCTCTCCCAGGCATAGCAGCTTTGCCCTCACTGACACTGGTGTGGGTATGACCTGTTGGATAGCTGACCCAGTGAACAGTTAAGCGGGGGATGCCTAGGTGAATGAATGAGTAAGCAGAAGGAAGCACTATCACATGGGTGCGGGAATTCATACCACATATACTGCACTCCAGATTGGAATGACTGGACTCTCAAGAACCGAGTTGCTTTCACAGTGGAAAGAGTGCTGGTTTTCTGCGCCCCCCAACATATAGTCCTCCGTATTTTTGATATCACTTTGTGGTTTTGCCCTGTGTCCTTGACTAATATAAAAGTCCCCCTTTTTTGGTATGTTCAAAGCCTTTGGAGAATAATCAGTAAAGAAAAATAATATGCCTTCCAGTAAAACTGATCATTCTAGATTGAGCCTCTGCAGGTTCGGGGGAAACCTCTTCCTTCCAGCAAAGATATCTCTGTCTTGCCTTGGTAGCGTGTGCATTTGTGTTTGAGAAAGTCTCTTCCCACTCCCTTCAATGTGAGACCTTCATTCCCAGGAACCCTCAGATGACCTAAAATTTGCCAATGTACAAAAGTGCATGACTCCAGGAAACACAGGGTAAATGTCTCCTAATGAAAGGTCACTCCGTTTTGCCTTCTGATTGGAAACATTGGGTTTTAGTTCTCTTCCTCTGTAATGAAAGGATTTGGGTTTGGGGGAGTCATACCTTGTCCTGCTCAGTTTTGAGCCATCTCCAGATGGCTACTGGTGCAAACAGTCTCCCCCTTCCAGGTAGACACTGCTTCTGTGACAGCTTTCACAGTCTTCTTGTTATGCTGTTTTCAAACCTGATCCTTACAATGAGTTGGGCAGGACAAGAATTATGTTCCTATTTTTTTCTAGAATGAGAGGAAACAAAGATTTAGGAAAGTTATGTGTCTTATACAAGGTCACAGAAATGGACATCTATTTGTGCCTACCCAGGGTCCTCAGTAATAGGTATTTCCCTTAGAATTTTTTTTTTTTAATTTGAGACAGAGTCTTGCTCTGTCACCGGGTCAGGGTGTGGTGGCACACTGCAACCTCCACCTCGCGAGTTCAAATGATTCTCCTGCCTCAGTCTCCTGAGTAGTTGGGACTACAAGCATGTGCCACTACACCCCGCTAATTTTTATACTTTTAGTAGAGACAGGGTTTCACCATGTTGGCCAGGATGGTCCTGATCTCTTGACCTCATGATCTGCATGCCTCAGGTTTTCAAAGTGCTGGGATTACAGGCGTGAGCCACTGCACCCAGCCTAGAGATCTTTTAAGAGGTGTTTTCTCCTATACTTAGCACCTGATTTGGGCAGAGCTGATGTTCATTCCATTTGGAGGGGTACAGAATGTTCCTTCCATACCCCTCCCCTCTGGCCCCATCAGGAACGTTTCAAGAAAAAGCCTGTTACCAGCCAGTGAGGTGTATTTCCTGGACTTTTGTTGAACGCAGTGAGCAACAGTAGGTCTGTTCACTGGTATTGCTGGAAGCAGGGGCGAAACTAGTCTGGGAGTTCTAGGGGACAGGCAGTGGAGAGAGGTGGTTTAGAAAAAAAAAGCACAAGAGAGCAAGACATGACACAGGGAAAACACAAGACCCAGTGATATTCTTTGAGCTTCTGGGTCCAGCAATGCCTGAAATTGGATCTTCCTGAACTTTTACATTATATATGTATTCTGATTCTGCAAACAATCCGTCTCAAAATAAATGGTGTGAAACAGTCATTTATTATTATCTACATGGTCCTATGGGTTGATGAGCTCAGCTAGGTGGTCTTGCTCAGTATCATGGACTCTGTTGTGTTCAGATGCCAATCAAGCCAGATGAGCTGGGGGCGGGCCAGGCATCACTCTCCATGCAGCCTCCCACATGGCTCGTATGGACTTCCTCACACACGAGGCCTGGGAGAGTAGGACTTCCTACTTAGTATCCAGCTTTCCCTAGAGTGAGTGTTCCAAGGAACAGGGTGAGGGCTGCAACTTCTGCCTTGGAGGCCAGTTGAATTATTTCCATGGGTTACCAGCCATTTCCAGGGGTTACAAGCAAGTCTCAGGGCAAACCCAGATCCAAAGAGGAAGCTACGCAAGGGCATGAATCCGGAAGGCATGAGTCATTGAGAAGCTGCCTTTGGAGACCCGCTACCATGACCCGCCAGTCAATACGTTCCCTTCAATGCCCGAAAGTTGGGTTGCTGCCACTCGCAGCCACAGCCACAGCCTAGATTAGGCTGCAGCCCTGCTCTGCTGTCTCCCCTCTCAAGCCCAATTCAGATGCTGCTTCTTCCTGCACTTCCCCCATCCTCCTTCCCCTACCAGAATTAACCTCTTCCTTCTGGAAATCCACAGCTCTGTGGGAAATCAGTAGAAAGAACTGAAGTCACCAATGAGGCTCAACGCCCTAGGGAGGAAACGCAAGCTGGGGAACTGAGACCCAGAGAGGCAACACCAGAGTCACTCAATATGTTTCTGGATTCAGGGAAGAGCCCTTATCACATCCTCTCTCATAGAATGGACATATGTACATAGCCGATTCTCTCCACTGGACTGTAACCTCCTGATAAGCAGGGATTGTGCTGCCACTTCCCTGTGTCCCCCACTGCACCTGGACGGGGTTTGAACAGGGGAGAACTGCAGAACTTGTTTGCTGAAGCAACTTTTACCTCGGGAGCTTCCCAAGTCTGCTCTGCCCTAAGCCATCATCCAGTTTCTGGGGGGAGCCCTTTCTGCCCCCACTAGAAAGTAAGGGCAGGAAGGACAAGAGGCAGCACATGCAGCAGAAAAGCAGCAAACAGGCTTGACATCAGGCAGACCTGCGTTCTGTTTAATTTATTTTTTTGGGACGGAGTCTGACTTTGTTGCCAAGGCTGGAGTGCGGTGGTGCAATGTTGGCTCACTACTGTAACTAACCTCCACCTCCTGAGTTCAAGCGATTCTCCTGTCTCAGCCTCCCGCGTAGCAGGGATTATTGGCGTGTGCCACCATGCCCGGCTCATTTGTGTATTTTTAGTAGAGATGAAGATTTCACCATGTTGGCCAGGCTGGTCTCGAACTCCTGACCTCATGTGATCTGCCTGCCTCAGCCTCCAAAGTGCTAGGATGATAGGTGTGAGCCACCGCATCCGGCCAGGCCTGCATTGTAACACAGGCTCGGCAAATTGCCAAGTGAACCTCGATTTTCTCGTCTGTAAAATGGGATGGGATAATTATGCCTTCCTCCCAGTCATGTGACTGTGCAATGCAATAATGGCGTTGAGAAGTCTAATAAGCTTCATGTGCACAAGGGTTTGGCATCATTAGCAAATTCAGATGCACAGACGCCTGTGCGCTGACGGGGCTGGGAGGGGATGGAGGGGCACCACAGCCCAGATCCCCCGAAGAGCTGCCCCTCTGCCTTCCCTCCTTACTCACCCCCACAGCTTTTTCCAGGCCCAAGAAAGAGCAATGTCACCCAGAGCTGCCTGTCACAGCCCAGGGCCAAGGAGAGCCTGAGCCCCCTCAGATTTCCGCTCTCCCTGAATATTTCCACCCATTACTAGCCCTGAGTGGGGAAAGAGAAATGACTAATTGTGCCCACAGTTGCCTCCTGGCATGGACAATTAGCCACCTGCATCCAATTCTGAGGGACCCAGAGGCTAATTGCATCTGCCAGACCTCATGGGCTGCGTGTGTGTGTGCGTGCATGCGTGTGTGTGTGTGTTTGTGTGTATGCATGTGTGTGTGCGTGTGTGTGCGTGTGTGTGTGTGTGTGTGTGACTTCTTGAGCTACCAGTGGGCACCAAAGCAGAGGCTGCTAAGATGAGTGAGTATTATTGCATTTAACACCCACTAAGAGCCTACTGGCCCCTGAACACAAAGAAACCAGGGCACGACCTTGTCCTTCCCTATGGAGGAGGGACAGAGGAGGCTTTCACTGGTGAATAAGCACAGCGCATCCTCTAGCTGGTGAGCCTGCTCTGACTCATCCTCCGGGTGGAGGGGCTGACTTCAGGGTGGCCACTGTCATCAGAACCACCTGCTCTGGGTTCTAGAAAAATGCCATCCTGGACCCTCCTCTATGCCCCCTCCTGCCTTCAGAGCGCTCAGTGTGCTCCACTTTAATGGACATACGCTGGACTGTGTGTCTTCCCCTCTCTCTGGCTCAGGGCTGGGCACACAGTAGGTGTTGAGAAAATGTGTGTGGATGAATAAATGAATGCGTAAACGAATGAATGATGCCTGCTGCCTCCGTCAGGGCATCCTGGTTTCAGCCTGTTTTATTAGGGCACCCTGGCATATGCCTTCTCATTTCATGCGACCCTTGCCAAGCAGCACACAGAGATCTACAGGGGGTTTGGCTCTATGGGGGCCCCTGACATGTCCCCGGATTCCAGCCTGCATCTGCTTTGATCTGGACGCAGGCCGAGTGCCTGACCTTTACCTCCAACCCTCGCACTCCTGCAGCAGCTGCTCCCCCTGGCAGCTGAGGACTCCGGGCCCCAGCTAGAGACTTCCAGCTGGAATTCCCAATCCTTGGCTCCACAACTTTGCATCTGCTTAGGATGTATGCCTGTCCTGGCTGGCCCCATGGGACTTAACCTTCTCAGGCCACCTCCCCTGACCCCCTGCAGGGCAGATGGAGACTCCTCTGAGCCACATGAGCTTTTCCCTGCCCAGGCCTCCATCTGGCCCCGTTCCACTCCCCCACAAAGACCTTCACCGAATGTGGCCCAGTTGTTTGCAGAGGATTCTTTGCGCTGACAGCAGGGAAGTGGTTGTTAAGGCCAAAGTAGGCCACGGCTGTGATAAACTCCCACCTCCGAGTGGCCCCCCACAGTAACACACAATACAGGCCTCTCGCAGTGGCTCACACCTGCAATTCCAGCACTTTAGGAGGCCAAGGCGGGAAGATCGCTTGAGCCCAGACAAGTCTGAGCAACATAGTGAGACCCAGTCTCCACATTTTTTAAATAAGAAATAAATAACACACAACATAGCCCAACGAGGGTGGGTGAGGGTGTTCTCCATGCAGTGATCCCACCAGCCGGGCTTCCTCCATCTGGGGCTCAGAGTCCTGTACTGTCCCATCTGCATTCAGCAGGCAGATGAAGGACGAGGGAGTGTGGAGGATAACAGGGAGGTTTCCATGACCTTGTCTAGAACGGACATACCTCATCTCTCCCACATTCCGTTGAACTCAGTCATATGGCAGTGCCTAACTGCAAGGAAGCCTGGGACTTGTAGTTCACTTATGTGCCAAGGAGGAAAAATAAACAACTAGCCAGTCTCTGACATTCCTCACCTAGGATCTCAAATACAAAACAAAGAACATGAGCAATTACGCATTTCCTCTGTGAAACACCACGATGTGGCTTCCAGACTCCCTGCCTCATTCCCTGGCATTCCCTCTCCCCACTTCCACACCTTGTGTACACTCCAGCCACTTCAAACGCCCGAAGCTGCCCCCAGGCTGTTGGACAGGTCTGTGGTTTGCCTATTTCATTTCCTCTGCCTCTGGCGTCCTCTCCATGTCCCCCACGCTCTACTCTACCTTCAAGACCCCCATTAAGGACATGCTTCCCTGCAGAACCCTCCCCAGCCTCCTTCCTAGGCGAAGTGGCAGTCTGCTTGCTCTCTGCCACCGCCATGCCTTGCACCTGCCCACACACACTTTGCTCTCCATGGCCCACTTGGCAGTCCACCTGTGTGTGGTGAATTATGTCCCCCCCAAAAGATATATCCAAATCCTGACCCCTGGTACCAGTGAATATGGCCAAATTTGGAAATAGTGTCTTTGCAGGTGTAATCAAGCTGCAGATCTGAAGAGGAGATCATCCTGGATCTAGGACTTGTGCCCTCGTAAGAGAAAGGAGAGGGAGGTGTAACACAGAGACCGGGAAGACCCGGGGAGAAGGCCATGTGTAGATGGAGGTAGAGGTGGAAGTGACACAGCACAAGGCAGGCACACCAAGGACTCCTGGCAGCCACCAGAGGCCAAGAGGGAGACATGGGACAGATCCTTCCACGGACCCCTCAAAGCAGCAGTTCCCCACATTTTTGGCACCAGGGACTGGTTTCATGGAAGACTGTTTTTCCACAGACTGGGTGGGGGGATGGTTTTGGAATGATTCAAGTACATTACATTTATTGGGTGCTTTAGTCCCATTGTAATATATAATATATAATAAAATACTGATACAATTCACCACCAGTGGGAGCCCTGAGCTTGTTCTCTTGCAACTAGATGGTCCCATCTGGGGTTGATGGAAGACAGTGACAGGTCATCAGGCATTAGATTCTCATGAGGAATGTGCAATCGAGATCCCTCAAATGCACAGTTCACAGCACGGTCCACACTCCTATGAGAATTTAATGCCGCCACTGCACTGATAGGAGGTGGAGTCCAGGCAGTAATGTGAGCGATGGGGAGTGGCTGCAACTACAGGTTACACTCCCCTCACTAGCCTGCCGCCCACCTCCCGCTGTGCCACAGCACTGTGACCAGCACTGGCCATGGCCTGGGGGTGGGAGACCCCTTTCTTGCTGACACCTTGATTTCAAACTTTTGGCCTCCATTACTGTGAGAGAACAAATTTCTGTTGTGTTAAGCCACCAGATGTGCAGCAATTTGTTACAGCAGTTCTATGAGTCAAATACACCACTCACGTGGCCTCTGACCACTAAAAGCCAGCTGCAGATGTTATATCCGGAGCCACAGCTCCAAAGCTTTGAGAGGCCAGGCAGGTGATGTGACCACGTGTAGGACCTAAGAGACTGCCTGGGCCTGTGTTCCGCATGAAAACATACACCTCCCTAGAGAATATTCATATTTATTTTTGTTTTTTTTTTTAAAAAAAAAAACCTAGAAGAAAGGGTTACAACAGTGAAACAAAACAGTGTTGGGAATCTGGGCTGTACCAAGGGTGACCATATGTCCTCGTTTTCCTGAGACAATCCTGGATTATCCCTGTTGTGCTCATGTCATTTTTCATAGGCCCCCTTACTCTCAGAAGCATCCAGAGTGAATGGTGAATGATATGCTCACTCATGGGCCGTAAGTTTTCTCCTGCCTTCAGAGCAAGCATGCAGAAAAGATCTGCCTTACCCCACTCCAGTCATGGCCCCCACCCCACTGATCGTTTAGATGATTATTCAGCAAATATTCACTCCCTCCTGACCCCCAGCTCCATAGGATTATTCTTCTGTAGCCAGCAGACGCAGGGCTTCCCCATGTGACTGCTTTGGCCTCATGGTGGGCAGAGTGTGCTTCCTGGCAGAGTATGCCTCCCTGCTGCTGCACTTTGGTCCCAGCCCCTAACTTGCCTTGGTGGATGGGATGCTAGCAGAGATCACTGAGCTGAATTTGAAAAGCACTTGCACTAGTGGGACATACCCCTTGTGTTGGGATCCACTGGAGATGGCTGGCACGATATTGAGGGAAATACTAAGGCAAAGTTATAAGATATAGTCTCTAACCTTTGGCTGAAATGTTTTTATTAACTTATGGAAGTGGCTGAAGGCAGGCAGTTCATAAGTTCAAGTATGAAGTTGTAAAGTTTAAGATAATAAAAGCTTCCCCAGTTAAGTCTGTTTATCCCACATTCCTTTGTCTCTATTCGGTTTACTTATGTAAACTTTATGCTAGATGGTCCTCTCAAGAAGTCAAAGAATTACCTGTTAATAGTGTCTATTGTAAGCCCCCAAGTCAAGACGTTTTATCATTCATAAAACCACTCTTAACCATGTCAATTATGCGCAAGCGTGTTGACTTAGAAGTTCTGTTATTAAATCTATACTAAATAAACGCAAAGAAAAACAAAAAGTTGCAGTCAGTTAGCTGCAATTGCCCTCTAAGAGCAGCGGACAGCCTCCCTAGCCCACTCGAATTCACTGCACCCTAGTGTGTGAAAGCGTATTTCATTCAACCATTGCTAAGTCCAAGTCCGCAAGACAGATCTCCACAGGTAGTAATCAATGTCTCACCCTTGCACCTGTGGCATCATGTGGAGAGCTTCTCCCATGTACTTGCTGCCCCTTTTCAATATGTTACTTCATTTTTTAACTTTTACGTTAGGTTCAGGGCACACATGCAGGTCTGTTATATAGGTAAACTACATGTTGCAGGGGTTTGGTGTACAAATTATTTTACCATCCAGGTACTAAGCATAATACTCAATAGGTCGTTTTTCAGTCCTTACCCCCCTCCTCCCACCCTCCATCCCCAAGTAGGCCCTGTTATCTGTTCTTCCCTTCTTTGTGTCCATATGTACTCAGTGTAAGATCCTACTTATAAGTGAGAGCATGCAGCATTTGGTTTTCTGTTCCTGCATTGATTCACTTAGGATAATGACCAGTTACAATCATGTTGCTGCAAAGAACACGATCTCGTTCATTTTCATGGCTGCATAGTATTCTATGATGTATATGTACCACATTTTCTTTATCTAGTCCGCTGTTGATGGGCATTTAGGTTGATTCCATGTCTTTGCTATTGTGAATAGTGTTGCAATGAACATACACATAAATGTGTCTTTATAGTAGAATAATTTACGTTCCTTTGGGTTATACTCAGTAATGAGATTGCAGGGTCAAATGGTAATTCTGTTTTAAGTACTTTGGGAAATCACCAAATCATTTTCTACAATGGCTGAACTAATGTACATACCCACCAGCAGTATATAAGCATTACTTTTCTCTGCAACTTTGCCAGCATCTCCTCTCTCTTGACTTTTAAACAATAACTTGCTGCCCCTTTGCCTGGACCTTGGAATGAACATCCTTGGAGCAGATCTGAGCCCAGTCCTGAGAGAGAGACCAAACCCAACCAAGTCCTGCTTACATCAGTGGAACTACTGCCAACCTGCAGAGGCATACGAGAGAAACAGATGCATATTGTGGTAAGTCCCTGAGGATCTGTGATTATTTGTCACCCAGCAACAGCTGACTTATACCACCACACGCTACCATCTGATCCCACTGTATTTGTGTTCACTCCCAATTCCCAGGGTTCCAGCTCCAGACTCTTGACTCCAACTTCAGTAAGGGTCTCATGCCTCCCCACCCAGCTAGTACCTTGGCTGACCTCTCCATCCTGCCTTTCGGGAGGCCTCCTCATGTCAGGCTCCAGCAGTGGGGCAGAGGGGTGAGGAGGAGATCTGGGAAATTATAGCATTTCCCTTGTTGTATTGTGTTAAATTAATTATATGTCTGTGAACCTTCTAGGCCAGCACTGTCCAACAGAAACAGAACGTGAGCCATGTATATAATCTAGAATTTTTCAGCAGCCACATTAAAAAGTTAAAAAGAAGCCAGGAGCAGTGGTTCACACCTGTAGTCCAGCACTTTGTAGTATGTAGTTGCAGGGTGGGGAATCACTTGAAGCCAGGAGTTCAAGACCAGTCTGGACAATAAAGTGAGATCCTGTCTCTACAAAATATTAGAAAATTAGCTGGGCATGATGGTGCACACCTGTAGTCCCAGCTACTCAAGAGGCTGAGGTGGGAAGATCGCTTGAGCCCAGGAACTGGAAGCTGCAGTGAGCTATGATCACGCCACTGCACTCCAGCCTGGGTGACAGAGCGAGACCCTATCTCAAAAATAAATAAATAAATAATTAGTTAAGAAATAATGGTAGTATTTTTTTAAGTAAAAAGAAAGTGAAATTAGTTCTAATAATACAGTAAATTTAGCCCAATATACCCCAAATATTATTTCGACATGTAACCAACATTAATTATTTAAATTATATCATATGTTTCTAGTATATAATACATATACATTATTTAACAGCTATTTTACATTCCTTTCCATACTCAGCCTTTGAAGTCCAGCGTGTATTTAAGAGGCACAGCACGCCTCCCTTCAGACCTGCCACATCTCAAGTACTTAACAGCCACATGTGGCTTACGGCTACCGTACTGGACAGGGCGGCTCTGAATGATAGAAGGCAGAACTCCATGTCACTGTCTGTAGCGTGGGGCCTGGCACACAGGGGGCACTTGATAAATAATTCCTGAATGAATGAATGATAAACACATAGGCATTGCTTTAAAGCTGAGAACAGGTGGGCAGACCTGTTACCCATGGCATAAAAAAGAAAACCTACAGGTTAGACAAATCAAATCTGCATCATAACGGACGGTGGTGTTTTGGAAAGCCACGTTGGCTGGTGCTGTGTCTGAGTCCAAAGGGGACTTGCTCAAAGGGGTCACATGCAATGAAAATATAATCTCAGGCAGCATTTCCCAAACTTGTCTGACCATGGCACGTTGTTTAAACTGTTCTGCTTTTGTCAGGGTGCCAACAGAGGCTCATGTGATACTGTTTAAATTAAAGTAGACAGCAAAATAATAATAATAATAGTCTCAGAGTAGAATTAATTGCAGTAAGAAATGTTCAAAATTTGATTCATATGCTTAATATAAGGTAAACATTGAATAATTGCAGCAATAAGTGTTAAAATCATGAGTAAAATGCATAACAAAGACTGGCAATTGTCAAATAGAAATGCACACAGGTTGGCAGCGGAGAAGCAAAATATACAACCGGCTGCCGTAGCTCACGCTTCCTGCCTGAGGCGATTTGTCATGGGACTTGCGCTTGTTTTCAGGTGCAGGAGACCCTTTTCCAAAGGAAGATCAGCACTTGAAAATCAAAACTACCACCAGCCTGGCCAACAAGGTGAAACCACATCTCTACTAAAAATACAAAAATTAACTGAGCATGGTGGTGCACACCTGTGATCCCAGGTACTCTGGAGGATGAGACAGGAGAATCGCTTGAACCTGGGAGGTGGAGGTTGCAGTGAGTCACGTTCACACTACTACACTCCAACCTGGGCAACAGAATAAAACTCTGTCTCAAAAAAAAAATAACAAAATAAAATAAAACTAATAAAAACTACCACTAGTCAAAGACGTATGACATGTCAGGTACTGTTCTAACTCTCCGAGGCTGATACCTCAGTCAGGGTCATTTTATGGATGAAGAAACTGAGTCACAAAGAGGTCAAGTAATTTCCAGGTCAGGTTGAACCATGGATTCTGGTTCCAGATCCGGTGCTCCTAACTGTTATGTCACACAGTCTCTTTTGTTTAATAATTAGAACCACTCTGTCCAGCTAATTTTTGTATTTTTTTAGTAGAGACAGGGTTTCACCATGTTGACCAGGATGGTCTTGATTTCTTGACCTCGTGATCCACCCGCCTTGGCCTCCCAAAGTTCTGGGATTATAAGCATGATTATGCAGCCATCAAAAACAGTGAGTTCGTATCCTTTGCAGGGACATGGATGAAACTGGAAACCATCATTCTCAGCAAACTCACCCAAGAACAGAAAATCAAACACCACATGTTCTCACTCATAGGCAGGTGTTGAACAATGAGAACACATGGATACAGGGAGGGGAGTATCACACACTGGGGTCTGTCGGGAATAGGGGAGGGACGCAGGGGATGGGAAGTTGGGGAGAGATAACATGGGGAGAAATGCCAGATATAGGTGATGGGGAGGAAGGCAGCAAATCACACTGCCATGTGTGTACCTATGCAACAATCTTGCATGTTCTTCACATGTACCCCAAAACCTAAAATGCAAAAATAAAAAAATTAAATAAAAAAATAATTAGAACCACTCTATAAATTATTTTCATTTTTCTAATGTACACTTTTTTTTCTAATTTTTTTGAGATGAAGTCTCACTGTTGCCCAGGCTGGAGTGCTGTGGCATGATTTCGACTCACTGTAACCTCCTCCGCCTGGGTTCAAGCGATTCTCCTACCTCAGCCTCCTGAGTAGCTAGGACTACAGGCATGCGCCACCACCCCAGGCTAATTCTTTTTGTATTTTTTAGTGGAAACAGGATTTCACCATATTGGACATGTTGGTCTTGCACTTCTGACCTCATGATCTGCCTGCTTTGGCCTCCCAAAGTGCTGGGATTACAAGCATGAGCCACCACACCCGGCCCCTAATGCACACTTTAAAATGAATTTAAGATGAACAATGCCACCAGCTGTGAGAGCTCCTGTCCTTTGGAATACTCATGAACATCTCACGGAACCTGCGCGCCATGGAACGGAGTTTCGGAAATGGTGTGGGAGAGAGATACATGCAAACTCTATTTAATATTGCCAGAAGCTATTTCAAACCATACTGACTTCATCACTCCACTTTCTCATCACCCCTCTTTCCAGAAGAACATCTTACAATAAAAACAGAGTAACAGCAGATGAAGCAGGGAGGTGTAACATTATAGGTAATGCTATAGAAATTAAGCCTGAAATCTTGTTCTGAGCTTCCCAATAGCTGGAGTGCGGAGAAAAGGCCACCTGGCCACAGAGTTCTTACTGCCTTAGAGGTAGGACCAGCCCGTGTGGCAGGAGAACCAATTTTTCTTGGCCCAGTGCCCTGGAATGCATTTGTCATAGAGACATTTGCATAAGTGGCATTGAGCAGTGTAATGAATTATAACCCCAATAGTCATTTTACAAAAAAAAAAAAAACAAAAAATGCAGTGATGTTTCTTGGGTGGCTCTTATCACCGTGGAACCTTTGCTGAGGGCAAAATATTAAAGCGTTGCTCCACATAGGCAATTCTAGAGGAAAATCAAGTCGCTCCAGCACCTTAATTCTAGACCAAAAAGGAAGCAAAAGTAATTCTGGAATTTCAGCTTAAGCTGCTTTCAAATCTATTCACCCATCTTTATGCCTACAGCCTTCTTTGGCATTGTCTCCTAACACCCAGCTCTGAGCATATCCTGTTTTGCTCAACAGATCGCAACTATTCTGCAAGGATGTGGAAGTGACTACCTGGTCTGTTTATTTCTCTCCATGCACCAGCACATGATAGGTGCTCACTGGGTGTTTATCGCTGAATGAAGGAATCATTCAAAACTTGAAAATATGGGCCAGGCACAGTGGCTCATGCCTGTAATCCCAGCACTTTGGGAGGCGGGTCACCTGAGGTCGGGAGTTCAAGACCAGTCTGATCAACATGGAGAAACCCAGTCTCTACTGAAAATACAAAAAATTAGCCAGGCGTGGTGGCACAAGCCTGTAATCTCAGCTACTCAGGAGGCTGAGGCAGGAGAATCGCTTGAACCTGGGGAGTGGAAGTTGCAGTGAGCCAAGATCGTGCCATTGCCCATTGCCCTCCAGCCTGGGCAATAGAGCAAAACTCAGTCTAAAAAAAACCTTAAAAATAATAATCAAAAAGGTCTCATGTCACTCCTGCCAACTTGCTGGTCCCCTCTGGCCTGGCCCCCACTGTTAAAATCATACTCAGACACCAACTCTTCTATGAAATTTCCCTCCTCACCTCCAGTGGAAATTTGCACCATCTTCTCCATTCTCCCTGGCATCCAGCACAGATGGATGCTTACCCGGAGCAGCAGGAAACAGTGGCTTTCAACATCAGGAAGCCTGGCTTTGAGGTGCTCGGGTAAGCCACTTAAGCAAGTCCGAGCCTTGGTTTTCTCATCTATAAAATGGCCAGGTGAGAATGAGGAGCAAAGGGGAGAAATCTCTGTAAGTTACAAAGAGCTATGTTAATGTGGGTCCACCCAGTAGTGCCCCTCCAGCCTGCAGGTGACCTTACAGCAAGGTGCTCATCAGCTTCACCTCTCTATCACCAAAATGTCTCTCAGGGGCCTGGCTCACAGGACTGAACAAACGCCAGCAGATTCAAACTCAAGGGGTACGATACATGCGCTTTATGGCTGGCACGCTAGGTCTCCAATCCAAATATTCTGGGCAATATTCATAAATATCTAGAATTAACTCCCAACACTTCACATGTCTTTGATTTCATGGTTCTAAGAATAGAAATAACCTTTTGATTTTAAATAGAAATTGCGGAGCTGAAGCCAAGTGACGAAAGTCTTCCAAGACATCCAGGCACAACTGCAGAGTTCAGGCAGGGCACAGAGCACTGACAGGGAGGTCGGTTTGACAAATCTTTGAGTGAAGCCAGAGTTCCGGAGAGTGAGGTCTGAGATGGGCTCCGCTGGAGGCAGGCACAGCCTGGGCAGAGAAGATGATTAGCAATAAATGGAGAACACCTCAGGGGACCCTCCTACAGACAGTCTGTCACCCAGTGTTTTTACCATTCCATTTCAAAGTTTAATTAGATAATCACTTTCCAATGCCTAGATGCAATTAACCCCTTTGGAGCAGCCCTCATTCACAGTTAACTTTCACAGGCCACAGAAGCTGAAATGCCCATGACGAGCCTGAGTGTCGCAGATTTCAGGAAAACATCTCTCAAGGAGAAAAATAACCAACAAATATTTGCGGGTTTGGAAGAGAGAACTTCTTTCTTAAATGCCAGGAGGAAACCATTTCTTATCCAAGAGTTCAGCGTGAACCATCAGTGCCTCCTTCCTCGTGCAAGCCCACGGGCAGAACCATCTTTGGGCGCAGCCAGGCTTAACTCACCCGATGAGGAAGAGAAGGACACTAGCAGCCTGTCCCTCAAAGCCACTGCCTGGCCAGCTGCATGTGCAACCCCCTCTCCAGTCCTGGAAGGTTGCTGTGCTTGTCCCATTTCATTTCACACAGTGGGAGAATGTAGACTCCCTGTGGCCCTCTTTTCCCGCAAACCCAAGACAGCAAAAGCCCAGACTGAATTCACAAATGTCCCTGGACTTTCTTTCCCTTCTTTTTTTTTTTTTTCTTTTTTTTTTGAGACAGTCTCACTGTGTTGCCCAGGCTAGTCTCAATCTCCTGGCCTCAAGCAATCCTCCCACCTCTACCTCCTGAGTAGCTGGGACTACAGGTGCACGCCACCATGCTCAGCTTCCCTGGACTTTCAAAAGCAATTTATTTATTTGCATGGTCTTTTAAAGCACTTCTATATTTCACATGACCTTTCCTATATCCCCATGAGGTGGACAGGAAAGGGACTGTATGCCCATGTGACACACAAGGACACTGACTCAGAGAGGGGCCAGATTGAGTGTCACACAGCTGGTAAGAGGCAGAGCAAGATTCCGAGTTAGGGCCCCAGATATAGGGTCCAGTCGCACAGTGTTTCCTCCACACTGTCTTTATTCTATACCTACTTATTGATTGCCCACTATGTGCGAGGCCCTGAGGGTTCAGCACCTCACAGGACACAGGAGCTACCTATTCTCAACAGATTATAAAACTAATGGAGGAAGCAGACATAAAACCACAGCGTGAGAGTCCAGTGCAATGGAAGCCACAGGATCCCAGCCCATGAGCCCAACCTGACACTGGGAAGCCAGGTGAGCAATAGCAGAGCCAGGACTGGGGTGAGGAGCAAGGCTGGAGGAAACAGTCCGTGGGGCAGCCTGGCCCTGTGACTCATGGGTACACAGGAAAATATTTAATGACTGGCTCTGTGTGGGAAACAGACCTGATTTGTAGAGTCTGCCCATTCCCATGGTGTAAATGCTTCCATAGCAGCTGATGTCAAGCTACCAATGTGAAGTCACTGCAGGTTGGGAAGAGATGCACACATGTGCTTCTGCAAGCTGGGGGAAGCTGGTGCCAGCCAGTGCAGGCTGACACCAGCATGCCACTCAAGTGACATCTAGAGCAAGGCTTGCAGGGCTCATAATAGGGTAGACACAAAAGATGGATCTGAGTTTGAGTGAGACCAGAGGCAGAACTGAGGACAGGTTTTTACAGAGCTGTGCTGGCCAATACTGTGCTTGCTGACCATATGTGGCTATTTAGTTTAGATTAAAATTAATTATAATTAAAATTCAGTTGTTTGGTGGCACTAGACAAACTTCAGGTGCTCAGTGGTTACATGTGGCTGTGGTGACCATGTTGGACAGCACAAATTTTAGAACATCACCATCCTCATTGAATACTCTATTAGATAGCTGTAGGGAAGTGGGGAGGGAGGATGAATTTCTAGAGAGAGAAGAGAAGCTGTGGCATGGAAAATGAACAGGCAACTAAAATAACCTTCCTCAGTGTCCCAATTTTACCAAGGATCAGCTCCAAATGAAGGATAGATAGAATGAATGAAAGAAAGTTAAGTTATTGAGAGTCTTGACTGTAGTAAGCCTTTTTTTTTGGTCAGGGTCTCACTCTGTCACCCAGGCTGGAGTGCAGTGGCATAATCTTGGCTCACTGCAGCCTCAACCTCCTCAGCTCAAGCCAACCTCCCATCTCTGCCTCCCAAAGTCCCATTGGGACTACATGCATGAGCCACCGCACCTGGCCCTATAGTGAGACTCTTGCTGGGTGATCTGCTCTCTGCCTGTGAGGAATTTACATCCCTGGTGCACAGCAGGTGCTCAATATATGTGTCAAGCATTTTGGACTATCTCAGGGACAGTGTTCCATGGAGCATGCTTTGGGACGCACCTGTCCAAACACAGCCCTATTGGGAGCAGGTGACGCTCAGGTGCTGGCCCACAGACCACCGGCTTGGGTTAAGACACTCATCAGGAAGTAGGTTTCTCTCCAACAAGAAAGTACTCTGTATCTTTCTTGTTTCACCAGTATAAAGGAGCATGGTGATGATCACAGATACACAGTGCTCGGGTCAGCTGCTGAGGACACCCACCCCATGTTTAATAGCTAAGGCAGCAGCAAGACTTCGGTGGAACCCAGCACTGCCCCCACGTCATGGAGTGGAAGGCTGGATTGGAACCTAGTTCCATTTGTCTCCAATATGCATGCTCTGTCCCTCCCGCCGACACCCTCACCTCTTGATCACTTCTATTTCCCAGCCCCTGTTCATCCGAGAACATGGGTTCCTTCCCAGCAGTCCTCCTTATTACCTCTCAGAGCCTGTGTCACTTTCACAACCACTTTAAAAAAGAAAAAGAGGCTGGGCATAGTGGCTCACGCCTGTAATCCCAGCACTTTGGGAGGCTGAGGTGGACGGATCATGAGGTCAAGAGATTGAGACCATCCTGACCAACATGGTGAAACCCCTTCTTTACTACCAATACAAAATTTAGCTGGGTGTGGTGGTGCGTGCCTATAGTCGCAGCTACTCGGGAGGCTGAGGGGCAGAGGTTGCAGTGAACCAAGATCGCACCACTGCACTCCAGCCTGGCGAAACAGTGAGACAGTCTCAAAAAAAAAAAAAAAAAAGAAAAGAAAAGAAAAAGAAAGGTAACTTTTATTCTAATTCTAAAAGTAAACTCCCACTCTTTCCAGAAAATTAGAAGGTAAAAGAGAAGTGGAAGGAAGGAGGAAAAACTTTGCCCATCGTTCCAACCGTACAGAGACAAGCACGGTGCAAAAATTAGCCGGGTGTGGTAGCGGGCGCCGGACAATGAGAACCGGGATCTCGCTACTGCACTCCAGCCTGGAGCCAGACTCTGCCTCAAAAGGGGAGTGGGGAGGGAGGGAGGGGGGAGAGAGAGAGAGAGAGAAAATTACAAGGAAGAAAAAAAACGGTGAGGACACGGTAGGATGGGGAGAGGCAGAGAGAGGAAAGTGGAAGACAGAAACGGTGACCCGCTGCTCTAAAATAAATTAAACAGGGAGAAAAAAAGAGACTCAGGGGTATGTGGACAGAGAGTGGAAGCGCAGGACGAGGGAGTGCCCCAGGGTGGAACAGGCCAGAGAGCCAGACCCCGGGAGAGGGGAGGGGGCCAGCCGAGGGGCGAGGTGCGGGGAGCAGACGGGAGAGGGGGCCGCGCGGAGCCGCGAACACCCGAGGAAAAGCGGCCCCGCCGCGCCACCTCCTGGGGTCCGGGTTTGGGCCACTCGCCCCATGCCCAGGGTTCGGGGACAACAGCAGCATGCGGCCGCAGCCAAGGAAGGAGCTCGCCAAAGTTTGCAATAAAATCATCCACGCCGCCTCCGTCTCGGCGGGACCTCGTGCAAATAAATGCACGCGCCCGGGCGCTCCTTGGGCCCCTCGCCCCTTCGCCCCCTCGCCTCTGCTGGAGCCCGGGCTGCCTCTCCCGCGGGCGGGTGGTGCTGGCGGCGGCGGCGGGCGGGCCAGCTCGTGGTGATCCCCGATGGTGACGCTAGAGGGCGCGCAAGGGTTGCTGCGCCGCGCCTGGTCCGCGAGGAGCCGCCGAGTAGAAACGCAGAAAGAGTAGGGCCTGCGGCTGTCGGGCCGAGCAGTGGGGTGCTGGGGGCTGGGCAGTGGGGTGCTGCGGGGCCGCGCAGTGGGGTGCTGGAGGCGCTGGCCCGATGGCTGATGAGAGGGTGCCATGCAAAGAGGTGTTGCGCACTTTATTTAATTGGAGAGAGGTTGCCCCTGAATTAAATCTTTGCAAGACTGAAACAGGCCGGTGCAAAACTAAATGAGACAGGCGGAGGCAGGCAGGGCGTGAGATGCCCGCACCTCCCCTCCTGGGTTACCGAACCCCCAAAACTGCTCAGGGGAAGAAACAGTCTGATCCCACCAGTACTCACCTTTGCACACATACATACGCCCTTTCAGAATGGGGTGGGGTGGGGGGCAGGTGGTGAACTTTAAAAGGCTTTTAAAGCAAAAAAAAAAAAAAAACGGGGTTTGCACGAGGCTGAGGTACTTGAAATGATTTTTGTGTTGCAAATTGCTATGCTTTTACTGAGGCGCTGATGAAAATAAATGAAGCTCCTCTCTCTCTTTTGCTAATAAATGAAATGAAAAAAGCGCCATTATTATGCCACCTGCTTCTAATTCCTAATTGTGGTAACTTAATTCTCAGATTGTTGTTAGCTGCTTAATATCGTAGGCGCACAAGCAAAAAAATAAAAATATAGGAGCCGTTTGGGTCTTTTTTTGGCCGATGGAGGTGGAAGGTGCTTGGACTCTGTTGTTTTTTATCTAGTTTGGTGACAGTCCCCACAGTGAAATGTGCATGCGGTATTGGAAGGGAGAAATCTTCATTCTCTTCAGCATCCCAGGGGGAACTCAGAAGGAATAAAAAGGCTTCTGAGATGCTCAAAACCTAAATAAATAGTCCATGAAAAATGATCTGTGACAAGGTCCATATTTTTTCCGTACTGAAATAGAATGGTGCATATTTCCTATAAAAGAAAAAAACATTAATTTTTATAACCTGGTTCTTAAATGCCTTCTATGAACC